ATCATCTATTCTTAGATGAGCGCAGAGTTGTTCTCGTTAACATATGGTGCACTCGTTACCGAGATGTTGCGAGATTATGAAGATCCAAAACAAGTGAATATGCGATTAGATAAAGTAAGTGCGTATGAATGCTAGATATGCTAGGGATTAGGATTCGCCATTGTGTTTCACCTCTTTTGAGATTGGTTTCAACATGGGAACGCGACTAGCTGATGATTTTCTTGCGAAAAATGCACATGTGCCGAAATGTACGGATTGTCGGCAAATAGCTGATGTGCTGTCGAAGAATGCTATTCCTACATATCTAGGTACTTATGCTTTTTCTAAATAAGTTCACAATCGATTGGATTGCTATTAGGATGTTAGATTCCGGCTCTAATTGATCATTGAAAAATAGATCTCTTACTGAAGCTAATGCTAATTTTTCTAGGTGTGCCTGCTACAGTTACGAATTGGGGTGGGGGTGACCGAGAATTTTCCCTTATCATTGAAAACAACCCGTTGACAGAGCTTGTCGAGGTTCCTGCCTCGCTGTCAACTTTGAACTATTCTCAAATAATAGCTGGTGCCATCCGAGGAGGTCTAGAAGCTTTACACTTCAAGGTAAATATCATTTTGGATTGGATATTTCACATATAGTCATCGTTTAATTATAGGTATATTCAAGCGTCATTGAAAATCCTTCAAACACTGAGATCAAAATCAAGTTCGACCAGATTTTGAGGGATAATTTACCTGCTGGTGAAGAAGATTAAATGAAATGATGTGCATAATACCAGTTTCTCTAGCATTCCTCAGTTTCTACAGGTTTAATAAATTATATTTATACTTTTTTATAGTGTATCAAATCAACATCGATATCAACTGATTTTTTCTTATGGAACTTGTACGTAGCGGGAAGATCCCACCGTAACTGCGCAACACATTTGGCCTAAAAATGGTTCGAAAAAATGAATATGGCAAAAAAATATTAGAACTTACTTCTGTATTATCCCACTTATTGGCAGATTTGAGAATGTAATCTCTTGTAGCAGATTTATGCAAAGAAAATACGCTACCACCAATACGTAACATTTGTATGCCAGCTTTAACAAAAAGTAAGTCAATACCTGAAATAAAGGGATGATTGACAGTAGTGATGGAATTTTTTTAAAAAAGTACCTGCATTATTCTTCGTTCCGAATGGTGGATTCATAACAATAACATCAAAACAGTTTCGAAAACTGTTCTGCACTTCAAGTATGT